AATGAAAAGGGTACGAAATAAAAACAGATTTTTCATTCATACCACTTAATAAAAATTATACATTACAATAAACTATGTGTCTCGACATACCGAGAACACATTTAAAAAAAAAAAAAAAAAAAAAAAAAAAAAAAAAAACTAAGTCGATTTCTCAGGGCTTGGATTTTCTTTCACTTCTTCCTTGGCATCTTCTTTTGAAATTTGCTCGTACATAACCCGGCTGATAATATCGAAGACTCGGTCTTCTTCAGCCTTTGTCGCGTTCTCTACCTCAGTAAGGGTCACTGGAATGTGCTCATTTAATATTGGAGCATTTTCTCCAACTCCAGACAACTCGGTAGTAGCTGGCTGATTATCTTTCTTAGATAACTCGGCAACCTTCCTTTCCAGAAATGCCAACACTGCCTTTCGGAGTTGCCCAGGAGTCATCTTCTCGAGCTCTTCTTCCAAACTCACCTCAGCCAGATTCTTAACATATATGTTGGCGAACTCCATCTTCTTTTCCTTCTCACCCTCGAGCACCATGTTGACAAAAGACCGACGAAGACGAGCCTCTCTTTCTCGGTTCAACACAGAGGCTTGGGAGCTTCCTGCTTCAGCTCCAATAGAGGCGAGGAGCCCTCACAGAAACTTTTCTCGTCTTCATCAGCCTCAATATGAGCAGTTGCAATAGAGGGGTTGAAGTTGTGACTCTTAATTTTGTGGAGAAGAAATTGTCGAACTTCTTCAATATCGTATAACCCCTCATCAAATCGCTCAACGACCCAACGCAGATTAAGACATGTGTTCATCTCAAATTCTCGGTCTTCGTCGTCAGAATCGGAGTCGGTCTTGGTTTTAAGCCTGTTAGCCTCGGCTTCAAGGATTCTTCCAGCTCGGAGACCATAATTATACTTCTCCTCAGCAAATTTAACCTTTTCTTCTTGAAGTCTGCTGAGGTCGGCACGGTGATCATTTCTGCTCTTCACCAACAGCTCTTCAACCTCAGCCCGACTCTTCCGAGTAAGCTCATGAGCTTCTTGTTCTTTGCGGAGAAGAGATTCACACCGAGAAAGCTGTTCTTCAAGCATTTTAACACGCTGCTCGGAGGTGATCACTTGGCTCGTCAGCTTCAACACATCGGAGTCAAGGCTAGCCTTATCAACCTTCAAGGTCTCGATCTCACTCTGAGCGATCGTAAGCTGCTCGGTTTGTTCGGCAATTTTGACTTGCAATTCTTTCTCCTTTGTCGCTGCTTCCTCTCTCAGAGATGCAAGAGCTCCATCTCTGAGTTCCAAGGTGTGCTTTTTCTCGTCCACTTGTGCTGCATTTAGTCGGAAATCATCTTCGGCCATTATTAAACTGACGAGAGCACGACCGAGACAAGCTTTGGAATATTTAAATTTGTAAGTACTAGGGAGGGAGGACACTCCAATCTCGGACCTCGGATCCCCCACCATCATTGGGACCCGAGCGGCATCAACAACGTGACTGGCCAACTCAACTGTGCTTGATATCTCGGGGATCTCAACCGACTCAAAAGCCGAGAACCATTTCTCGACAGACTCCCGAGGCTGCCTAAAGTTCAAAGCCCTTTCTTCGTCAATAGGCAAAAAGGATCGATCAACCAACGGTTCTTTTTTCTTCTTTCCTCTATCGCCGATATCGTGCTTCTTTTTTCTTCGTTCCTCTGCGGCTGGAACGCTTCTGCACGTCTTTTTCTTGACCGAGTAGCTGGAACTTCACGTTCTGCGACAATCTCTCGGTCACCTTCAGGCTCATCAGAAATTACCTCAATAACAGGCGGAACTTCTGCTGGAATATTCTCACCAATTGGCTCAATCTGAAATGAATTAGCAGTAGCAGCAGCAATAGCAGCCATCGGACCTGCCGCTGCAATGCCCAACAGATCTGGTTGTAAAATCTCGGCAACAGTCGCCGATGTGGCGCCAGCACCGATATCGGTCCCTGGAGGGTTCATGATTGGATTTTCCAGATATGCCTTCACTAGCTTCTTGCGACCCATTCCTGATAAGCGTAATTCCTTGCTTTTACCGACTTTAGTTCAAAGGTCCAAGTTTGGACTCTTTTGACGGAAAGCTTTAGCGTCGCGGATGGTCTTAAAACCGAGAACACCGAGAAGCGGATAGTAAACTGCAAATACAGAACCGAGTTATGATAGTTTTCAAAAGAAACCGACTTTAAACAAGATTGAAAGTTTATTCAAGTTGGAAAGAACCGTCAGAAATCTCAGGACAAAGACCAACAGCCTTCAATCTTGTGTCCTTCAAAATCAGCTTAAAGCTACGATGTGCTTTCTTCAACTTGAATAACTCGGTAATTCTTTCCTTCAATGGTGCACCGAGTTTCGATCCTTTGCTTTTGGCTGCAAATAATAAAAGCGCTGACCTGTTAGTACAAAAATAAGCAGTCAGAACAACTCGGTAAAAGAAGCAAAAGAAAAACTTACAAAATGCGGAATTAATATTGATGGGAATAGTCATCCATCAATTAAAGGTTTCGAAAAATTTGGAGTTTGCCAGTCTCCTCCAACCCATAACCACTCCTCTTGAAATCCATGAAGAGACTCAGGGATCTCAGTAATCAGTTCACCAATCTTTAATCCTCCTTGGGGCCTTCCCGCACAAGCATAACAGATCAAGAGATCAGCCACCTGTCTGTCGGCACATCGTCTGAAGGTGAAAAGACTTCTAATCTCCTCCATCGTTGGCATATCCCAGCCCTTTTCTTGTAATAGCACCAAAAGACCGATGATCCTCTTTCAGGTATTCGGTGCTATCTGACATAAACCGAACCCCCAATCCCTCAAATAGTCGGTAATTATCGCGGGAAGTGGAAACCGAAGTCCCGATCTCAATGAGTCTGCAAATATACCTACACAGCCCGGAGGAGGACAAGTGATCCTTTTCCCTGGATAAGGAGCAAACAACCTTACCGAGGAGGGAATATAAACTTCTCCTCGGAGATTGACGATATCAGCGTCAGTCAAAATGCTCGGTTCTCCTCTGTATTCATCAATTGGTTCAGGCCACCGACGAGCAGGACGTCTCCAGTAAGCGGGAAGCGACATAGCATCCTCTTCGACTCGTTTATCCTCCTCGACAATATCTCTATTGAGATTTAATCGTTTCACCAGAAGAGGATCCCACCGGTAAAACTCCAGAGGCAATTTCAAATCCTCATCGGTAAAAATTGTAATCTCTGAAACTGTACGGCTACTGCTATCTTCGGCTTGAGCAGACATCTTTTTCGAAATCGATAAAAGTAAAAACAAGTGCAAAGTTGACGAATAAGAACGAGTAAAAGATTAGGGCAAATTCTTACCGAAATTCTTGAAAGCCCCGAATCGAAGAAAACACAGACAAAGTGAAGAAAAAATTAAGGAAGATGGAACACAAGAGAAAGCAGGAGAGAAGATTTAAGGTACAGAAACTTTTCACATATCAAAACCGACTGCGATTTATAGGTTTTGATTTATAACCGTTGGTAAGATCTGGAAACGGCGCGTGAAACGGACGTATCTCAAAACGGTGTAACGTTATACTAATCATTAAACCACGTGGCCATGCCCAAAAACGCCATGTCGTTAAAGATTATATCCGTTGGACCCATTAAATGCGGACGCGTCTTTTAAGAACTGCCACGTCAGGCTGAGTATTATACAAGTGATGACAAATAAAACCAAGTGTTCTCATGTCGGTCGTCAAAGACAATCAAATCGGAACAACAATCGACATCAGCAGCCATTTGAAAAGTTCAAATACCTACTAATGTCGGGGGCCTCACTGTTGATATCCGACTTGATTACATAATTAAAGGTGGAAATTAATGATTTCATTGAATAAATAATCCGCCGGAAAAAGACAAACTCAAGGTAAGTCGGTATTTATTGAATTAATTACCGACTTCCGAGATCGTCAAAAGTACCGACTATTGAGACAGATACAAAAAACCGAGACCGACTTCAGTTCAACCAATATTACGACAATGTCGAATCAAACCTTATCTGTTTAAATCGACGGTATAAAAGTTCGAATATCCAAGCAGAAAACAGAGATGTAAGCATGTGATTGGATCGTCAAGATAATACAGCAATCATTGATGTTCCCTGATTCCGAAGCACATCACTTTGTTGAAGCTGCTCAACATTAAATACATTCTTATCCATCTCAAACAAGAAGACAAAAACCACCGTACTATAAATAGCAGAATTTATGATAGTACGAGGATCTTTTTCAACACATGGTACATGGACTTAAGATGATCTCGGTCAAGAATAAAAAACCGACTCTTGTACTCTTGTGAATATATAAAATAAATTCCAATTTTACTTTAATCTTTCTTTAAACACACTCAACTGTTTGTAATTTTAAGTTGTTAATTTCATACAACAACAATAGTTTTGAGATACGTTTGAGATAGCATGGCCAAATGGAGCCAAGGCTGTTATTCGTGATTGGACTGAGTTCTCATTAGCTCAGTCTTCTGTATAGTTTGGTTGTTTTTTCAGTAGTTTTTTTGTTTTGTTTCTTAGTTATTTTGTTAACTTGCTAGGGTCTTCTTGAACAGTGTTAAGTTAGTTTTGAAGTCGTAGTTGTATTTATTTTGCTTGTTGGTCTTGTGGCAGGGAGTAAGATCTTAGTAATCGGGCTATTTGTGTTTCCATTACCGATAACTAGCATCTTTACTCCTTTTTGGATGCTCTTGAGGTCCTTATTTTGCTTTGTAACATATCGATTTATTTAGCCCTCGAACTATGTATATTTTTCTTTATAATAGTATTTG